CCACCCCCCAAATTCATGTATGTATAGAAAAGACAAAAAAAGTATTAATTTAGTTAATTACTGCTTAACCTCAGACTTGTAGGAGTGCCTTTAGGCCCATTCAGTGATCCTTCCATGATTTTGTTACTAACACTGACTTCTGAACAAAGTGTATTATTCAGTTCCCCAAGCTCTTTGTGTACCATCCAATTTTTGAAGTAGTTATTTTATCCCTGTACCTGTAAATGGGATTACATTTTTTTGTTTGTCATCTTCATGACTTAGAGGGGTCATGTTCAGGACATTAGTTTTTTGGTGTTTCTTCTACAGTTAAAATATAAGAGTGCTTTCGGTGTTTCAGAATCCAGCAAGATGCATTTTGTCTGCAGCTTGTTGCTGCATTACTTTGAGGTTAAGAGAAATTGATTGAGGTGTTGAAGTTAAGTGCTCTTGGGTACAAAACTCAGATGGATTATCTGTGAGCTGTGTACCTTCAAATGGCTGTCCTGGGGAGTCCTCAGCAGTGAATCAATAGGCAGTGAATTTCAGACCATACTCAGATGCTCCATTGGTAGCTTATGTACTGTACAGCATGTGCCACCATATGTGGCACAAGTGTAATCGCTAACGAACATGTCTATTTCTTTCATCTTAACAAGCAAATTTGGTAAAATTGTCAGTTAAAAATCCTAATTGGCCATTTATAGGTTTTCATTGTAAAGCAAATGATGATATATATATAATAGGATTAGATTAGAATCAGAATTGCCTTTAATTGCCAAGCATGTTTGAACATACAGGAAAGAGGCTCTCGATGTGTTGTATGGCAAGAGGAATACAAAGTAACAATGAGAACAAAAATAAAAAGTGGAGCAATAAAAATGAGGATAAGAATAAACAGTGTGTGTATTCAAATAGGAAATGTGTGCAATCAAAAATAGGAAAGGAATGAGAGGAAAAGAGAGGCCGCTTTTATAAATATAGATACATTTTTATACATTATGGCAGAAGGGCTTTCAGACTGATATATACGATGGTTATATTTACAGTTTATTTCGCTGGAGTGCTGTGTCCAGTCATACAGTCATGAATTAAGTGTTTATCAGAGTGATGGCACAGGAGAAGAAACTGTCCTTGTCTGGTTGTTTTGACATACAGTGACCTGTAGCACTGCCCAGAGGGGAGGAGTTCAAACTGTTTGTGTGCAGAAACCTTCTCTGCCCCCGTTTTGACCCATGAGGTGTATAGGTCCTCGGTGGAGGGCAGGGGGCTCCAGTGATTTTTTTCTGCAGTCCTGGCTGTTTGCTGGAGTCTGTTCCTGTCCTGTTTGGTTGCTGAGCCAAACCAGACAGTGATGGATGAGCAGAGAACAGATTTGATGATTTGTCTATTGAACTGTATCAGGAGCTCCTGGGGCAGGTACATCCTCTGCCGTGCCTTCTTGGTGATGGTGCTGATGTTGGACGTCCACTTTGGAGTGTGTTCATCTCCAGGTTGCTGTAACCGCACCAAAGGGCCACCTGTTCAACCCTGTTTGTACGCAGACCGGTCACTGTCCCGGATGACACAGATGACCGTATCATTTGTGAACTTCAGAAGTTTAACAGAGGGGTCCCCTGAGGTGTAGTCGTTGGTGTAGAGTGAGAACAGCAGTGGGGAGAGATTAGATTAAATTAGATTAGATTAGAATTTAATGATCTTTGTAGAAAAAAAGGGAAAATTAGCCATTACAGCAACAGGTAGTAGTTGTGGATTCCGCTATGGGGAAAGGAATTGCAGGCTATTTCTGCTGCACCATAAAAAGTGGAATTGAAGTCTGTACAGTACAAATGGCCTCTGCAACTTGTCTTATTTTTCTGCTAGTAAGATAAAGTATGATAACAGAGCCTTTATAGAGTATGAAAAGGTCTGGGGTAGAATAATCCTACCCACAACAGACTTATGACCCTTGGACCTAAGTGAAAAAACTGGAAAGTCCTGGAGCAGCTGGTCATCTGTCGGGGCTCAGCCTCCCTCCTTCCCTGTGGGGATGAGCCAGGCTGAAGGCTGTGGTGTCCTGAAGTAACATCAGCAGGGCTAAAGTGGATGTACTGTTTCACTCAGCAAGGGACACTGCATTTCCCCCCTCAACACTAGAGGCCTGCACAGTGATGTAAACAGCAAGATGGATGTTGACAGCTGCTGTGCATTTGTCTGGATTAATATCCGTTGCACTTAAAGTGCAACTTCAGAGGTGTGTGGGCTAAAGATGGTGTTTGAGTTCAAGTCCAGGTGATCTAGGGTGTTTGATGTGAAGGTAAGAGAAAGCTAGGTTGTTGTTCTGTTTTTAAAATTTGACGTCATTATCTCATATACTGTATGCTCAGTCTCTTGTCTTGGTTCAATATTGTCCTTACACTTGCTTAACTTGTATTATTAAACAGTTTGACTGGGTTTAATGATGCACCACTCAGAAACTGTTAAACCAGAATGAGGGACCAGAGCGTGACTACAAGGGTGACCACTGATGTTTTTCTGCTCTAGTAACATAGAGTAGATACAGAGTATTCACATATTAGCATAAACATTGGCAATAAAGAAAAGCACAATTCTATGTCTGCATAGTCAAAATGGAAGTTATATCACTTAAGCACTAAATTCAACTGTGCAATGACAGAAAGCAGGAAATGGCAGCAGTGCCATCATCAAAGCCATGAGGACATGTTTTATGACAAGCAGATATCTGAAACGCTAATTTGTCATGATGGCAGTATCAGGACATGAGAAAACACAAAATGTAAACACCGCATCAACAGCAAATGCAAACAAAGGATGGAATAGAATTTGCACAAATGATACAGCCTCTGTAATGTGTGTTTCTAAGACAGTGTGAGTCTTTTAGCTCTTCGGGAAGCTTGTTCACTAATTTTGGAGCCCTGGTAACTATAGCCCTCCCATGGCAAATTTGGACTGGATGTAAATTTTGATGAGGGTCTAACTGACGTCCTGCTGCAGTCAGAATCACACTCTAGATCATTAAAATAAATATAATATGTAGCTTTTCCAGCTCATTCTTTAAAGGGGGTCTGATTTGAGAGAACTGTTCCTTTAAAGGTTTAAAGCATAAATCAAATTCTTATTAATGATATGATATTTATTTCTGTCATTCAGCTGCTGAATTGCTACTACAGCTACAGATATTTAAATCTGAATGTGCTTCAGGTATTTTTGCATCAAAACCAGACCAGATCATTAGGTGTAAAAGTGATATCATCTGTAGGGGATTTGTTTTTTTTTTGTTGTGTCTATATAAATTATGTGACTCAGTGGGACCATTAAAGAGAAAGAAGCATTACACACAACCCTCAGAAATGACCCTTTTGGTGCATCTTGGGTAATATGAGTTGAGAATTGGTTAGGGATTACCAATTGCGGTGTCCCCGTAAGACACATACAATATACTGCAGCTCTCCTAACTTGAATCTATGCAGGAATTAAAAGTAAAATGTTTTCTCTAAAGAAATCCATCTGTTATTGATTTATTTTTAACTATTATAGTTTGTAATGACCTTGCATGTATTCAGCCTCAGCACAAACATTGATAGCTGTTGACACAAAGGAGTACCCAAGATACTCTCTGCTGCACCTCAGGGACAGAGTTGGAGGCTGAAGGTGCTGTACACTGTAGTTGCATCAGCTCACTATAAATAGGATGGTGGAAAATTAACCAGCTCCCTTAATGGTTTAGTGGGAACACTAATGCACTGCAGCTGTGAAAAATGTGTAAGGCTTTATGGCTATAGTGATTATTAAAAAAAAAAAACACACCCTAAAGCATAGAAGTTAGTTGACAATGTCTTTTGAGGCACTTGGATCTGCTAAAATGGTTTTTATACTCTATTCTGTTTGTAATCATGACTTTTATAATTGACTTAAAATGAACTTTCCCTTAGCAAGACTAATACCTGTTCAGAGCCAAGGAGCGAAGCATTATCCGCAAGGTGCTGCAGATAGCATTGTACGCACTCTGTCTATTATCAGTCTCCTCTGGTTTATATCTCATATAAAATTGTACACTATAGCAAAAGATTGTGGGTTGATGAGTTGCTGGTCTTTCAGATTAGAGATGATGACCTCATTTTACAAGATTACATTGTTTAATTTTCATGTGATATAATGTATTTTTATTTTATCATCCACTTCCATGAAAAGACCAAAACAATGCTGAACTGATCATATTCTAAATGTTTTGTGTACAACTAAAGCTTGATAAAGCCTATTCTCCATGCCATAGACCTTTATTTGGCCAAGTATGTTTCTGGTACAGAACCGAGGCAGCCATCTGCGGCACCAACTCACACCGATGGTTCTAACCATCGAGGGAAACTTGGGGGTTCAGTGTCTTGCCCAAAGACACTTCGATATGTGGACTGCAGGCACCGTGATTCGAACCTCCAACCCTTCAGTTGGGAGACAACCACTCTACCCACAGAACCACAGTCGCCCCCCCATTATTCGACCTCCATTATTGTCCAAAAACAATTAAAACTCTAAAATAAGCCACACTGGTTGACATTTTCTTCATTACAATGAACATTAACTCTGTAGTTTAAAGTCAATCCCACATATGGTGTCTGGCTGCAGTAAATACTCAGTCCCCAGCAAATACAGTTTTCACCTTTTAAAACAGTGTTGGCTAAACTCTACAGTGCCCAGCTGAAATGTATTTACCTACTCTGACAATGCCTGTAGAGGAAATACTGGGTATGTGACCCATTTTTGTAGACTTACATCTTCAATAGGATGAAATGAGCCTAAGGTTGAGTGCCACAGTCAGAGGAGAGAAATCAGCACACTTTGAGAGATAAGCTGTCTCTTTTGATTTGTTTTTCATGGCATTTGTTGACAGTCAAAATAAACCAGCTTTGTACCTCAAATGTTAACATGACAAACAGTAATATTTGACATTTTCTGTGATTTTTTTTTTTTCTTATTAATGAGCGTTCTTCTGACTGGTATGTTGGTTTGTACTCTCTCCACAGTGAGTCCAGATGTGACCAGCAATCACAAACATCATTATCGTCATCATCCACCTGCTGAGGATTCAGAAATGGGGGACAGATCTAGGAGCCTCAGACTGACAGGAGCAACCTGGGTCTTGATATTGCCTTGTTTACGTATGTTCCAGGCCTTGTAACAGCTGCCTTTATGCAGCATGAAACTTTCAAGACTAGATTTCAAGCTTATTTATCCAGAAACGAGAGGGCCAGTCGATGTAATGGAGCACCACGTCCACGCAGTGCAGGACACAGTAGGAGTAAATATGTTGTGTGAAAATAACCAGACACTGCGGCCTCTGTAAGCATAAGGCTCAGCTTTGCAAGTATTAATTGATTATTTTTAATTTTTTCCCTGCCATTAAATGATGGATTATTTATAATAATATTATTTATACTGTTCTGGGGATTCCTTCTTTGTATAAACCTGGTTTTAACATTTTTATATAATACATTTCTATTCAGATTATTGTAGAAAAACTACAGTAAGGTATAAGAGATGTACTGTATGTTGTGTATTTTACTAATACTGTAGGGGGAAAAGTCATCTGCTTCTCATTCATTTGTAATAGCTGCTATGCTGTCTGGAATCCATGGTATAGTTCAAATGCAAAATTAACCGATAATGCTACTACAGAGAGAAGCAGTGGAAGGAGAGCAGTAGGCAGGCAGAAGTGGGGGTAAGTGAGAGAATTCATACTCTCTCTCTTTTTTTTTTTAAGAAATAGATTAGTTTCCTCAGGAGTCTATTATCATCTTTCAAACTCAATCCTCCTCTGCCTTCATAAGTCTGTATGGAAGCTGACAGCTCCTGGAGTCACCGGTGAGCAAGAATCCAACTGCTTCTTCCTGCTACCTGACCCCATGCTGCTGGTGTATGGCTGGCAGGTTTCTGTGCAGAGAAAAGGAAAATGATTGGTTTCACACATGCCATGTCTGGTCACTGGCTAAGAGAGAAAAGTACTCAGCAGTACCAAAAAATTGGCTCTTTGGCTCAAATATGTTGGGGAACCCCTTGTAAAGCAAAAAAAAAAAAAAATCTTTTGAGATGCTACAGAATCTAAAACAGTAGTTTTTATAACCAAATTTCACTGTTCATATACAGCGTCTATATACATGCACACCACAGAACTAAATGAGAAGACTGAAGCTGCTATTGTGCACTCTGTAGATCAGTGTAAAAATGAACAGAGACATTCCTTTGGGGCTCAAGAGTTATGTTTTTTCTATATGGGTTCAACTGTACAGAAAGATTTCTACCACATTATATTGTGATAATAAAATAATAAACTGTAATGTGTAACCAATATTACTACGATGATATGATCTTAACTTACAGTATATTACACTTAATTTGTACTTACTCTACGTGTGTGTCAGTGGTGACCATTTAGTATCATCTTAACATGGAACTGAACAATGAAAAGTGCAAATTGGATTTCATGTTTAACTTCACCTGAAATTGTTTTATTAATCAGCTGCTGCTGTTTATTTTAAAAGTAAAATCTGGTACTCTGTTGGATCCTATACAGTATGATCATGTTTTTAAAAGCCTGTGACCTTCCTCACACTGTAGTTGTTCTGATGCATGCATAGTAATCGTTGTCATTAGTCATATTCACCTTAAATATACCAGGTTAGACTTTTATCATGATATAAAGTCAAGGTTGTTGGAACATCTGAATCACTTGAGTAGCTCAGAGCTTTTTCAACTACAGTCTCGAGGTTTATAAATGATAACTTGAAGATTAATTATTACTTTACTTTGAATTTAGGGTCTTGTATATAAGGCTTTTTTGGGGTGAGCTTCACAAACAAAAACAGTCATTGCAACCTTACTACTGTTCATTAACAGCCTAACAAGTCACAACTACTGCCTTAAACCAGTTATTTCACAGCTTGGCACCATCAAAGTCAGAGCAATTGTCATTTGAAAAACTGTTAATGACACCATCAAGGAATAGTGTTCAGTCACTAAGTAGATAACAGACAGCAGGCACAGAATCAAAGGTGTCTTGAGGCTAAATATAGATGTCAAGTTAGTCTGGTTCTCCTGTACTTAAAGAGAAGAGTTTAAATTGATGTCTTATGAGATTATTATACTGTGGCTACAAACTGAGACAGCTATCCAGATGAGAGAGGAAGGTGGCCAGATGCTGATGATGATCCCGATGTCAGTGAAACTGCACCCACATCCAGACAGATGTCATCCTGCAGGCATTGCAATGTGTCTGAACCTCTTGCGGTACCTGTTTACTCTCTGTTACTCTGTTTGAATAAATGTGCAACATTGTTATCAATGATACTTAAAGCAAAATTACCATTTTTTACAGCTCAGGTTCAGTTTTCATGACTTAGGTTGACAGTTTAATCTGTACTCATAGAGATCTTGGAATGCAGAAACACTGCTAAAAATAGGTCAGACACTGCAACAAACTCGAGCGCTGAAATGATCAGACAGGTCGTAAACAAACCCCCAGGATAATAAAACCGTTTGGAAGCAAAAATGAAAGCGACCATGAATGATTACCCAAGCTGTCCATTGTAAACACTGATCACAGACGGACTTCCTAGTTCAGCTTTGACCTACCATGCACAATGGTTTGAGTTTACCTTCGCGATGATCAGTACCATTATTAGCAACTTTCAGGTTTATCTCTAAATGAAGTGCTGGCTGGTTTTACCTCAGGTTGTGTGACAGTTTGTGTTTGTTGCATGTTAAACCTATTTTCAGCTATTTCACTGTCCTGACATCTGAGCAAATGTGGCTGTATTTTTCTATACTTAAGATTTTGTTTATTATAGTCTGGTAATAAGTTTATGATCTTGTGTGCTTTTTTCCCCAGCAGTATCCTGAGGCTTTAGGTTGTCATCCATCCCTTTTGTCTTGTTTGCTCCTGGTTAAGCTCACTGTGGTTTCAACACAAACGCAGCAGCCTAAACATCCTATCTTGAAGGTAACACCCATCAACCGTCTCTCCAGATCTGCTGGGACATGTAATCCCGCTCCTTGTATTCACGCTTTCTCATGGGTTTAAAATAAATTCTACTTCAATATAAGTTCCTGATTGGAAGCTGAGAGTTGTGTTTATGACTCAAATTTTACTTTTAAAAGCATCTTGAGATTGTCAATCAGAAAATTGTGTATATTTTTCTAAAAATTGGTATGTGTTAGGTGACATGTTAAAACACACAAAAAAAAAAACTCCTACAACAGTCCATGATGATGTTTAGCCAGCTTGTTTAGTGCTGATTTGAGGTAGTATGGAAGAAGTTTTCTGTTTCAGGTCGTAAGTTTGAGCAGCACAATCTGAGCCCATCACTCTTCATGCTGTTCCCACATGTCAGCACCTTGTATCCATCACATCACCCTTTGGTCAGTTGTGACTATAGGTGAGGATTGGCACAAGGGCTGAGCAGTATATTGATTGGTTTACAGCTCGTCTCTGTCCTAGCAGGTAATTTTCAGCCATATCTTGAAGTTTGTCCCCCAATTTTTTTTTTATACAGTCACTGGGGAATAAGACCACAACATACTCCTTCATGTTGGGCAGCTGCACCTTATTCAGCTGGACTGAGGTCCACCACTCAGAGCTCAGACTCTTCCGGTGCTGCCTTTTGTCCATAGGATTAGTCTGTCAAATGTCTTTCATGTACAGCACCTCTCCAAGTGACTAGATCAGTTCATGTAAACCACGGCCTCATTACTGCAGAGATGCTGCCTGGATGTTTTGTTGTGTGTGTGAACTGTTGTGAATGACTATTACAACTCATTTTTAGGAACACCAAAATTAATTTTCATAGTTGCTTTTGTGAATATAACTGAGTTATAGAATGCAAAGACATTGCGCTAGAACCCTGTGTGATACAGTAATTTATTTCTATTTGATTGATTGAGAACTCTGGTGAGTACTCTTAATTCCTGACATTTTAACATGCAGCAGTGGTCTGAAAGGTGTTGGCCAGTCTGCATGGAACTACCGCTTGCACTGCTAATGATAAGGTCCGATTTGGTAAACCAAAGAAATCGTCGTCTGTATTGAACCAATACAGAATCAAATACAATTTCAAAGGACTGCTGTCAGAGTCAAATAATCCATATTGTATGTGCCCTGTTTAGCTCACTAAAAGCTTTCAAAAGTGCTTTTCATAAAGAATGACAAATATAAGACCTGAATTATAAGCCACCATGGAATGTTAAAATATTTTTAAGAGACTGAAATAAAAACAAATCAGCAAATGAAAATGATTAATGTTTAATTTTGAAGAGTGTAGTTATTCTTTGTTATCCTTCGGCAGTTTTCATTATTGGTAATTGGGGGTTGAGAAACCTGAACAGTAATAGGATTGTTCTCTTCCCACACAGACACCCAAAATGGTGATATTAATGAACTTCTGCATTTTAAAAAAGGCGACAATGGTATTTTTCAATAGCTCTCACTGCAGTAGTTTCTCTGTGCTGGAGTCCAATTACAGTACACTTTGGTGTCTTCAAAATTACTCAGAGGTAAAGCTTCAAATTGTCTTTGGAGTCTTTTATCTTTGCATACTGAAGAAGAGCTCCTGGGACCTTCTAAGAGGAACTGTGCTGAGCACTGCTTAAACGTGTACAGAGATTAATTTCATATTCCCAGCGAGGTTTCTGTTTCACTCAGAATTATTACTGTGACCTTGACAACAGCTAGTGTTTAGCCTCAACTTAGATGGGAGCTTTAATCATTGCAGTGCAGATGCAGACAGGGTTTTGTGTCATTGGTGAAGTTGTTCATGGTGAAGCTGGTGTTTTCAGAGGCTTAACTCTAAACACAGAACCTCCCTTTGAACGAGTCAAGGAGATAAATTGTTGTGAAAAATGAGTGAGGGGGATTTAGAACTAAAGAAGGCGTATTATCACAATACCATTGAATTTCCTGAACAAGTTGTACTGGCCTAACAGGCTTTTCAAATTTTGTATGTCTAAATAGTATTAACAGTGAATTTACATAGATTTATATAAATCTAATGGGTTTTAAATCTGTTTTTACCTTGGCATGCTACATTTCCTCATAACCCCTTTAACCTGTAGAGCTGTCAGTCAGTTACTTTCATCCACACTGAAGTATCTCAACAACTCCTGAATGGATTGCCATCGTATTTTGTGCAAACATTCATGGAGGATGAATCTGATTGACTGACAGCAATGCTCAGACTTTTTCTAGTTCCACAGTGATGTTGATGTATGTGATTTTATGTGAAATAACTGTACAGCTAGTGAGTTGGTGATCCCCGAACTTTCTACCTAGTGCCACTGTCAGTTAAAACAAAACATTGTCCAGTACTGTGTATTATGACTAATACCTGTAAAATGAATGGCATTCCCAACAGCCTGAGCTGTACTTTGTATTTGGCACTAATCAGCAAATGTTAGCATGCCGGCATGCCAAATTAAGATGGTGAACATGATAGACATCCGCATGTTAACATTGTCAAGATAAGTGTGTTAGCATGTTGACATTAGCACTTAGCTTAAAGCACTGGTATTAAGTGCAGCCTCACAGAGCCTTAAATTCTTGTTTTATTTGGTTTTTAAATGTTTGAATATGTGCATTTACATTAATTTGATATAGTTTAATATTTTTTTTCAGCAGTGACTTGTGCTTGCTACGGTATATTCCCTTGATTTAAGTGCTGGTTTGAATCCCAGGCATCCCATCCTTATCCCTCCTACAGTGTGCACACACACACACACATCTGTCTACTATAGTATGCACAGGTGAGTACACAGTTTCTATTACAAATTGAAATAGGGAACAGTTGTATTGATGCCATGAAGTGAAGTTCAGGTGTAAAGACTTCATGGGAGATCACAGGTGTATTTTACTGAACAGCCACAGCTTGAATTCAACAGTAACTCTAAGAGCCTGCAAGAACTTTTAAGAGTCTGCAATTATTCATGACTGCACTATATCATCCCATTACTGATTTCTGTCATTTTTCATTTTCAGACTGAAAGAACCATCAACATCAACCAGCACCAGACTGAGCCACCCTCCTGTCCCATAGGTACATTTTAAAGTTCTAGTCGTGTGTTTTCAGACATACACACACAAACACTTCTTCCACCTCCTGGAAAAAACAGTTCTCATTTTCCATGTTCAAGCCTTTTTTTTCCGAGAATGTGGTAAACAGTCCCATCAATATAATGTTTTCCTGCTGTCTCCCCTCTCACTGCTTCCAGATTATCAGACAGGACTACAGCACTGGTTTCACAATAAATTCTCCTTTCTCTTCACCCAACTTCTTTTCATCATGCTTCCTCGTTCTTTTGCACTTTGCTCTCTCTCCAAGGTGAAGTTTAGTTTCACAGTACAATACAATTTCAGTAATAACTAGTTTAATATATTTCAGTTTAATAGCTCAGCTGCTCCTCTGTCAGTTATAGGTATCTGCCAATTTGTTAAATGTGTTGGGACATGAGCCATAAGCCCTTGATTTATTCTCCATGAGCCGAGAACTGGGATCAGGTGGGAGGATAAGTGACCACAAATAGGCTTGAAATAGGTGTAGAAGTTTAACACTTGTGAAAATATTATTTGATGTGCGGCTGTGGTGTCAAGTAAACCTGTTGTTTGGTTAAAAAAAAATTCAGGATAGCTAAAGGACAACTGAAAAACCCAAGCAGATAATCTAAAGAGATGAAACTGAAAAACATGGGAAAGATAAAAAAATATATATTAGAATCCATTGGTGGCATCAAATGGTGACAAGACTAGAAACACCACAAATAAGAGTAACTAAATATGATTACATACCCTTCTGTGTAAATGATACACAACAAATATTTCCCACCCTTTCTAATTTTCAGAATAAAAATGCTGTGACAAATAACAATAGACATGCATTGATTTCTTCCCTGGTGTGCTTGAAGCCTGGAGGATAATGCTGTCCTCTTTATCTTCATCATTTTTAACCCCATGTGTGCTCTGAGAAGGTCAGCTAGTGCTTGGCCACACAATATTGCAGAGTATGCGGCACACAACAGAGGGCTAATTTGACTCACAGGGATCTGCTAATCCTTAAAATGTGAAAAATGATTAGCAGTAAATGCTTTCTGGTTTAGGAGGGAGGAACAGATTAATTTAATCTTCCCCTTATTTACACTTTACTCCCAAAAACACAAAATTAGCTCAGTATTATGACTGATATATTAAAAAGATTACCTGACTTTTGTGAATAACGCTTCTGTACTGCTTTGTATTAATGAATCATAATTTTACATTTTTACCCATGTGACAGTTTTACCATTACCATCATCACTTTCAGTGATGTTTTTGAAGAAGTTCACTTTATTTACTGACCTAGATATCGCAGCTCACATAAGCATGGCTGCCATTACTAGGACCATTCCCATGGCAACTGACCCAATTGTAAGACAAGCCAACCTTCAAAATTTCAAAAATCCCAGATCACATAAGTCATACTTAAATCTCTTCCCTAATATGTCTCCTCTGCTGCACACCACCATCTAATATACCGATCTTCCAATTACCACTAACTTTCTTTTCCCACAGCTGTCTGGTGCAAGGTGGGTGTCATACTTAGCATCAGTTCCTGACTTAGGTGTGACACGTTCTCTTTCTGCATCCGGGGTGGACATACTGCCACTTCTATTCATGGCACCAGTTGATACATTATTCACGTTTCTTAATTAGTCAGCGAGGCAGCAGCTTATACAGTGTGCATGCCACTTTGATTGTGACTTTGTCACTGAATACAAAAGCAAACATGATTTTAAAAAAGATGACAAAGATTGGAAAGGGTGTAGTATTTTTAGTTACAAGATATTATGATGAAACAGCAGTGCACAGAGTGAAACTTGCATATGAATGTTATGCAGGACACGTGCAAAATACATGAAGAGAAACAGGTTGTATTAACTGCTTTTTATTGTAATGTCAGAAAATTATTTGAAATGGTTTTAAAACATGAACAGAAAATATGTTTTCTGTTTGACAGTATACATTTGGTATGTATTATACGTCATGACCCACTGCCTGAAAGGAAAGATGTCCAGCGCAGGAAACAGACTCTTGGACGTTTCCCATCACAAACTACATTTTACTGGCCTGGCTAGAATTTAGATGGAAAAACAAATAGTAGCAGATAAGCATTTATATTGGCATGATTGGTTCCTGATTTCCTGTTTTGAGGCTTTTATTTTTTAAGACTTCCTTATGCTACTGTATCTAACATGCCTCAGCTTTACCCTACACATTAGTCACCTGATGATTTTCACCTGTGCCTCTTTGTCACAGGCCTCTCATCTCTGCCTTCTGACCTCTGACTAGTTTTGGATTATGATGATTGGATTTCTGACCTTTGTTTTTGCCTGTAATGTGGACGGCCTTGTTGCCAGCCTTTGCCTGATTCCTACCCTGATTACCGGACTGTGGATTTCTTGTTTCTTTGTGTATTTTTGGTCTGAGCTCAGTTACCTATTTTTGTTGTGTGCACACTGAATAGGAGTATTTTGGTGGGATGCTTTGTTTTTGTGCTTGTGCTACCTACTCACCTGTATCCCCCACAATTAAGTGTGTTCATCCATCGAGCAGCTGTTAACTCCCTCAGAGGTTTCCTTGCATGCTCACCTGGTTACCTACCTGCTCTGCCCACCATCTGAAAGTAGTCACATGCTCACCAGGTAACTTATCTGCAGTGTCTGCTATCTTCCGGTTAGCCTTCTTCTCAGCCTCCTCACCAATATCTGCAAAACTCAGCTCTGAAGCCTCTCCAGGTTTGTGCTTGTGACACTCACTCACCTGTTTGCCTCCTTCTGACTGTGTGTTTATTTGTAGAGCTGCTGAGAACCTCCTATATAAGTATCTAGTACCATCACCTCCTGCCACTCCACCGTTGTCTCTGCCTTTTGCCTGCAAAGGAAATAGAGCTCATCTGTGAGTACAAGACGCATCTTGGATATAATTATCTCTTACCTGCATCATTTCTATACTCACCAACCCTCTGTATAGCGCAGGAGGAGACCTGTGTTGTGCATTTGGGTACTGTGTTATTTACAAACCTGACATAGATAAGTTAGCCTTCATATTTAATTTCTTTCCACAAACTGACTTCATATCAAATGTTCAAGAATGATTAAAAATCAATTATCAAGCTTCATCGTTTTTCAAAACAGTACTTGCCTTAGTTTATTCTTGCCCTTGGTCTCTTTTTGCTTTGTCTGGTTATTCACCCTCAGCGTTTGCTATAGTGTTTACATGTAAGTCCTGTTGATCTCTTCCTTTTCCCCCTGGCTCTGTCTTGTGTTTGGGTCCAAAACCATCAGAAAATAGTTAATAGTGGAGGAGAAAGTGATTTTGTTTTTGCTGTACAGTAACGCTATTGTAAATTAGTTTCATCATGGGCAGTTATAGGCAAGTGAAACCTGGGTAACAAATCAGTTCTGAAAGTCTTTTTTTTTAAATACAATATTGCAAAAGAAGGGTTTTCAGAGCCAACAAATCCAAGCTGCTTTGGGTGCTAAGTCTTTTTACTTTTCTCATCTGTTTGGGGGGGTAGGGTGGGGGGGATGAGTAATGACCTATACTGTACCTATTGGGACTGAAGCCATGTGTCTCTGACATGGCAGTATACAGAACCTTGTTTCATGTTTTTTTTTCTTTTTCCTCCCAGAGTACACATCAGTGTGCCGACAGGCCCAACATCCACTGCATGGGCTCGCTAGATTTCTCAAGTCAAGTGGTGGGTCAAAAAGGATAACACCATTCTTTCTCTTCTGATGCATGCTAATATGCAGTCTGTCAGTACTGAGGTGGCAAAGCCCTTAGGGAGGGTTTTGCACTGAACTATTTCTTGTCTGTAGAAAGATCAGGGAGGGTAATCTGTTTCTGCTATCCAGGACTGTTCTGCTGTGTAATTCAGTCTTTATCCTAAATCCAGAGAGAGAGAGAGAGAGAGAGAGAGAACAAGAAAAAACTGAAGATGAAGTGTATAAAGACTCCTTTTGTAATGATTTAGTCCTACAAAGCAGTGCACAACCAAATAATATTTTAACTGTTAAATCATTCTGAATTGCAGGCATTAAAATTGCCCTTCAAAGATGATAAACTGGCCAAGGTCATTCTAATATCTTAAGAGCAAGGTGAGGGTGTTGGTTTATTCAACACATCATGCTGGTTTTGAGGTGAAGTGTAAACACATGGAGAGTGGGTGGAGAAAACACCAGCATCTGGTCTTATTTTGCAAAAGCATAAAGTACTTGTTTTTTAATAAATCCCATCCAAAAGAAAATATACTTGAAATGCACTTCGAAACGTACTTATATGTTATTACACAGTGCTGGGTTAAATCCATTTAATTGCTCAATTCTTGTGGGAGTGAAAATTGAAAACCAAGGTTTAATTTTATAGGTCTGTATTTCCAAGGGATTTTTTTCCACTGTCTCTAAAGCCCTCACACTATTATTTGTCATGTAAAAAGCAATTACAATCAGTGCCTGGATGAAATGTGTCATCAGAGAATCCATTAACAACGTCCTCAGACCTTAATATTTACAGTCACCACCCTACTTTCAGAGGCAGCATTGAGATTTATGAGTTGTGAAGGACAGTTAAAAGGCATTGGTCTCATTGTCAGATCTGTTATTTTAGGCAGTCTATTTGAGGCAATTATGATAACACAAAGGCATTTATCGCAGTGCTATTGTATTACATTAAATTATACAACTGTTCCTGTTGTTTCTGAGCCTCATATTTGACGCTGAGTAAAACTTTTTTGCTCATACAGTAGTTATTTAATTAAACTATTGCTACTTTAATTAGGTGCAATAAAAGAGGTCTTTAAAACTAGTGAAGGAAAAACTGTTTTTTTTCTCTCAATGATAATTAATACAAATTAAATTCCACATGCTCAGTGTGATAAAATAAACCCTATCTCAAACAAATAGTCTGTCAATTTGAGAAAGGCACTTTTTTTGGGCCTATTGTTATTTACATTTTGACAAAGTGTGCTGATGTTCCTGTTTAAGGACTGCTTATTATTCCGTGGTTTCTAGTGGATTTATGTACATGTACACGGATATCCTTGGAAAGTGTCTTTGTTCAGATTTGACAGAGTTACGACTCTGAGAAGGCGATCTGATTTTGACGCAAATTGCAGCAATTTGGCAGGAAGGGTTTTAAGGTACCGTAATATCCTTTGTGAATTGTGTGTCAGTCATTGCTGCACCAACTGCTGACAGTGTTTAGTGACTGGGACAAATCAACAGATCAAATTGGATAACTTCCCTTTGCTTTTATAAGACGGGTCTTGTGTTGAAGGTTGTTCCCTGTTCCAAAAGTGTTTCCCTCCCTTTAGGTTATGGCTGTGGTCATGTTAAGTATCTTTGAAGACAACATTATGTCCATGTAATGGTCTAACTTTATAATTTGTCAGCTGTAAATTGGATGCCTGCTTAAATCATCAGGGAGACAGTAATGTATCTGTTGAAATAATGAGTGTCAAAGTATTTTCCATAGAATGTATATAAAGATGATACTGTATAGTGTGTATTATTTTTATGTTCAGTCTGTGCTATTTAGCAGCACTGACCAAATCATATCTGCTGACTATTGGTAACACGATGGCCTACAAGCTGTAACATTCATTTAATGAAACAACAACATAAAATACTAATATACTAAAACTGTCTAGCTGTATGAAAGTTACTCAGATATTCTGAATGCAAAAGAGTGTAACAAATTTTCAGTTATGTTTTTAATTATGCCAGCAGATCAGATTGAGCAGCTGCAGCCCTACTGCTGTACAATATTTCTGCAGAACTACAGTGAAGCAGAATAATTTTTATTTTTTTTTTAACAGTCACAGGGGTTTTGCCCAGAGCAATCCAAAATTATCAAGTGGATCCCAAAGAAAAATTCTCTCTTTGAAATCTATAAACTTTTTTATTTCATGTGGAGTGTGGCCCTTTCACACTACTTTATCCATAATTGAAGCACATAAATAATTGTACAGAGAGGAAGAGAGACTATAATGAATAATTCTGGTTCAGATGTGAAGCCATTTCGTGTTGTCCCCATTGATGTTGTCATGTGAAAATGAATAAATGGATGTTTGGGGACCCTCCTAAGATGTATTGAATGAGGCAATGCAGTAATCCTTTTTCTTGTCTCTGTCTTTTCTGTCTGCCAGACAGTCTGCTGCCTCCCCTGACAGAATGCGACACTGAGCCAAGTTTGATGACTGATGCATAGATTACAGGTAGCAGTTAACATTAATCTCACCTATGCTCCCTGCTTGTTTCTTTCATTTTCTCTTTTTCCTTTACTTAATCTTTTTCTATGGAAGGAAATATCTTCACTTTTTGTGCAGTGAACATTTTCATTTCATTAAAATTGTCAGATCCATATTTCTGCAATCTGCTGCACATACAGTACTGTAACACAGGAAAAAGGATCCTTGAAATGTAATTACCTACTGTACATATACAGCAGTAATTTCTAAGTCTTCCTGCTAATAAACAACATTTATATAATATAATTATATAAATATAAAATCAAACTAATGTAGTTACCTTAAATGTTAATGTAACTGTATGACAGGATGCCTTTTTGGGCCAGGGATGACATATGACACAGTATATATATTATAGTATTACTTTTTGCTCAGTTCGAATGGCAAAACTTGGTGCCAAATTCAGTTCCCCAACTACTTCGCTTCTGTCTTTTTTTTTTTAGTGTGATGTTATTTACCTTTACAGTGTAGAATAGGTGAAAACAAAAGCAAAATAGGTGAGAAATGTAGGTAATTAGTAATAAAAAGATGCTAGTGACCCCCCCTTCTGCTTAACTTGCAAGGCAAAGAAAATTTTTTTTTTTTTTTTTTCCCCTACTGAATATTTGAATACGCTGTAAAATCTGAGAGATGTGTTGGGATTCTAAAATATCAAATTTCTGCTGACTAGACAAAATGAGCAACATAAAACTACTACTGTTATTTCAACTGAGATATAGACTCGGTACTGTAAATGCAGCAAGTGTATTCCAAAGTGTCTCGTCAAACTGTGTGTTCATCTATATTTAAAGATAATAGAGGGAAAAAAGGTCAAGCATGCAAAGAATTTTTATTAGTTTCTCCGTAGTGTTAGAGCTAATGTACATGACCATGATAACCAGGACACATTTTGACTTGTCGCAGGATAAATAATGGAATTAACGGTGGCTGAATTCCATTTAGCATTAGCCATTACTTACTGGGACACTAGTATAGAACAGAACAGAGCTATATTAAATGTTATTAGTAAATGGTGTTAGTAACACCTATGGCTGCAAAGAGAAGTAAGAACTATGGAAAAGGTCTATATGTTAGGAGTGCACCTTCCTTGGTGTCTAAAGGAAATGCTCCAATACTGTTCTGGTGAAATGTATTTATCATGTTATTACTATAAGTTCAACTTTGATAGTCTTGTTGACAATACACTGACATAGTCAGCTTCTGTGGAGAGTAGGATGAAACTTTGTAAAAACACAGAAGGAGATCTGAACAGGGCCGAATATCTTACTGTAGGTCTGGAACAATGAAAATCCTACCTTGTTCTCTCAAGACAGAATTAAAACAGACACACAATAGAGGAACATACAGTAAACATTCATTCATTCATTTTCTACCGTTTAGTCCCTGAACGGGGTCACGGGGGGTGGGGGTTATGCCATGCCTGGAGCATGCCCGGAGCCAATCCCGGCCGGTAATCAGGCGAAGGCGGGGTACACCCTGGACAGGTCGCCAATCCATCGCAGGGCTAACACATAGACAAACAACCACACACGCGCACATGCACTCCTATGGCAATTTAGAGACACCAATCAACCTAAGCTGCATGTCTTTGGACTGTGGGAGGAAGCCGGAGTACCCGGCGAGAACCCACGCAAGCACGAGGAGAACATGCAAACTCCACACAGAAGGGTCCCGGGTGGGGCCCAAACGAATGTGTAACAAAAGCCAAATAAGCAATCCATTTTAGTCTTTTAAAAAATGGTAAGGCATGTCTGCTTGGATAACCATCAACTTCCATTCTCCCCAAAACACTTAGAACAGCGTGCACTGACAGCTCCAAAAAATCTTAATGTGCTCCTTAGTTTTCTGATTCTGCAAATCACAACAGTACCACACTCACAACATATGTTTCAGCAAAAGTGCAGCAGATGATTAACACCAAAATGGAGAAGACCTTGCATAACACATTGTTCTAAACATTCAAATAAATAAAAAAAATAAAAAACCAACCAGCAATGCTTTTACTTTTTTTTTTTTTTTAAAGTTTTCCAAATGCTAGCGAGGATGAATGAGGTGGCAAAAGGCTCACAGACAAATTAAATTAAGCACTGAAGCATCTCCGACAGTGATACTGTACTGTATGTCTGAACAGGGTAACACAGCTTGTCAGGAAAGAGAAAGAGAGGAAGGCGGTGGAAGATGGCAAACATTCCTCTCGTTTTAATGAGGAGAGACTGTTTGTACTGATTGGACCTACTTCTGAAGCGGCCTTTGGTTGAGTCACTTCCTTTACTGTATTTCTGGAACACTACTAAAACCCTGCCTTATCCTCACACACCACAAACTTTTGTTGTTGTAATCACAGATCTTGTAGAGGCTTTCATGGGGTGCTTTTGACCTTTGTGTGGCTGCAGATGCTAACCAAGTTTTTATACTTTCACAAACATAATTTTAAGCCTCACAGAGGAGGCAGCAGTGCCAAAGCTTAACAATGTCAGCATCTGAAACCACATAGCAAAACCTCCTGCCTTATTATCAGATACTAAAGATTGACTCACTTCATTTCCTACCATGACTCTGAAATATTTGCCTCCAGTGTTTTTAATACTTGAAAATTGAATTTATATGACTGTTTGACTGCATCACAATATAACCCACTAACTTACATTTCAAACCTTTCTCTTTCTGTATATTTACTTCATTGACAGTACTAATTATAGAATCACCAATGCACAAAGATCCTCTGAATACAACTATTACAGCCCCAATAAATCTAGTTTTAGCAAACAATATAACATTGCATTGCTGCAAGTGCTGATGAAAAAAAAAACAACTGTTTAATTTAAAGTCAGAACATTCAGTATCAAGTGTAGTAGCTCCAGAATGTATTCAGACCCCTTCACATTTTGTTGTACATTTAATTTTAAATAGATAAAATGTCCTTTTTGCCTATCAACCTCCACTCAATAACCCATAATTACAAAGTGAAAATGTTTTCAGAAATGTTTGCAAATTTGTAAAATATCAAAAATTGAAATCTCTCATTTATAAATGACCCCTAATTCTATACTTTTGTAGAAGCTCCTTTGGCAGCAGTTGCAGCTTCAAGTCTTCTTGGGTAAGTCCCTACAAGCTTTGCATACTGTACCTGCATTGGGACAGTTTATCCCATTCTTCCTGGCAGGTCCTGTCTTCAGGTCCTTCCACTGATGTTTTCTGGGGTTAAAGTCTGGGTCACTCTAGGACAGTCAGACTTGTCCCAAAGCCACTCCAGCATGCCTGGGGTCATTGTTTCAGGCAGCGTGCACTCTGGAGCATGTTTCTTCAAGGACCTCTCTGTATTGGGTTGCATTCATCTTTTCTGCAATTCAGAGCAGTCTCCTTTTTTTGCTGCTGAGAAGCACCCCCATAACATGATGCTACCACCACCATGCTTCACTGTAGGGATGGTATTAGCAAGGTGATGAGTAGTGTTTACTTAACATACAGTAGTGGATTTCTGCCCCAAGAGTTCAATATTTGTCTCAACAGATGAGACTCTTTTCTCTTATGCTCTGAGTCTTCTAAATGCTGTTTAGAAAACTCCAGGCGGGCTGTCAATATGGTGTTTACTCAAATTGGTTTCCATCTATCATAAAGGCCTGATTGATGGAGAGCTGATGAGATGTTTGTACTTCTGACAGGCTCTCCCATCACAGCAGAGAACAGCTGGAGCTCTGTTAGTGACCACTGGGTTTTCAGGTCACCATTCTGACCAAGACCCTTCTTGCTTGGTTACTCAGTTTAATTGGACTGCCAATTCTAGGAAGAGCCCTGGTGGTTCAAAACGGCTTCCATTTCACAATTACTGAAGCTGATGTGTTCCTGGAAACACTCAAAGCTTTAGAAATGGTTTTAAACCCTTGCTATGATCTATGCTTACAGAGAGCTCCTTGGACCTCATGACTTGTTTTTTGTCCTGATGTGCAGTGTGACTTGTGAGACCTTATACTGTGCCCATCTAAACTGTGTCCAATCAATTGTGTTTGCCACAGTTGTACTAAAAACAAGTTGTAGACATATTTCAAGGACAATTAAAGCAAAAATGATTGGCCAGACCACAGTTTGGAGAGCCACAGCAAAGGGTCTGAATAACTTTTGTAAATGAAAGAATTTAGTTTTGATTTTTGGAAAAATTTAACACTAGAAAAACATGTTTTTACTTTGTCATTAGAGGTTATTGATTGGCAAAAATGGCATTTTTATCAAAAATCAATAACACTACGTGTATGTAAAGAGTTCTGAACACCTCCGGAAGCCACTGTGTATTCTCTAAGAAGTGTAAACATTTGAAGCTAAAATTCAGTCTTAGGTTTGCCAGTCCAATGCCTCATATAACTGACCCTTTAAAAAAACCATATCAAACCTTCATACTTGCAGTTCTCTGCTATCCAGGACTGTACTCCTTGGTGGGTAAATCCTAACAGATCACTAAAACTGCTGCTGGACATCAGGCCTGACAGCTAGTTACTTATATATTCAGCACGTTATAAATAGTTACTGCTGGATGCCTGTCCTGTATAACTACCGCCTATCTATTTCATTTGTCTAACCCACTGAAGCAGTGAGCACAGATCAGAATCTATTTCTTTTCACTTCATCTTAACACATTTGGATGGTGGGCTCTCTGTGCTTATGCAAAGATATCATGATCTGGCAGAGGACACATGAGTCCAAGAGGAGAATCCAAAAGAAACGTATGATAGACTGTAACTCGTATACCTTCTGCATAGATGGTTGAGTAAAACTACTTTAGATACTGAGATGTAGACTTTGTTTATGTGTGTATCTACTGCACCCCTGGTTCTATCTGATACAGGCATTGACCTTGAAAGTGCTCTACAGGTACCTCAGTGACCTAAAGATGTTCTGTGTTCTAATCTAGTATCTACATTCCTGTAGTGCAGAAACAGCAACAGAACTAATGCGGTGAATATAATAAGATGAAGATGGCTTATCTCTGTTGCTCCAGTACCACCATGATGTGACATGTGGATGGATCCCGTCCATGCACGGTGCATGGCACGCACCTCTCTATCTTCACTTTGTAGCCCTCAACTAATGACATCGGCCTAGAGATGGGAAATGATTGTCTCCCACACTTCCACTTCTCTAAGGATTATGTTCTTGGTAGTCATCTATGTCTTGCTTTCCTGGTGAGTACTTGTTTTCTTTGTGCCCTTTCTAAGACCTGCTCAGCTTGCTGCCCATACTGTGTGTTGTTCAGCAACTTCCTTTACTATTTTATTACTGTTGACCTCCTCGTCAGTAACTATGTTGCAGTTGTGATACTGATAATAATATTTTGGCAGTGTTATCTTTATACTAGTCCTTCTCTACTAGTCATGTTTTTTCATTAAAATGTTGAGTAAATTGTAACATTTTCTAGAAAATCAGCTAAAGAAAATGTTTATAAATGTGCCTTTCTGTTTCCCTCCACACTGTATCAGAAGTTGGATGCACTGAGATAAACAGTTGACAGTGCAAATTAAAAATGTGCATAAAAACAGGTGGATGGAACCAGACCTTCTGTCTGTCCTTTTTGTTGATCACTTCAGTGTTGTCTTTCCTCAGGCTTCAGATTTTCTAATGTGCTGTCGTGTTCTACAATTAAAGTCTAATGCATCAGTGATTTTAATTGAATCATGCTGGTTTTGGTGGGTGGTTGAGTTCAGTCACTTTCTCATAAAGTGGTTTCTGCAGCGAGAGGTGACACAGGTCAACTGATCTGCAGTGGGATTCCTGTGGTGCTTCTGGTCTCTCTTGTGAGCCATATGAGCCCTCTGACGCAAGATTTCCATTATGGTGCTGTCTGTGAAGGCAACTCTGATGCTGGCACAGATTTTGGCAAAGCAGATCCCACTCAACTCTAATTATCTGCTCATTTGAAGAGGCCACAGAAGCACCACAGTTCACCCACACTTGTCATTTGTGTGGAAGAACATAAGATATTTTTTTCAGATCTTGGAGGACGTACAGTAGCTTAATACTTTTGATCCTCTCTCCCTTCGTGCAAGACAGGGGAAATTCGTACCCTGTGCTTGCTTTAATATACTATGTGAAACGTAAAGTCTCTTGAGTTGCACACAACAGCTGTTAATTTGTTACAGTGATGGGCTGTGGGTAAGGCCCCTGTTCAGACAAGAGACTTGTTTATTGGCTAAATTAAAGCATTTCAGATGATTATGATCTGATGGGTCGGGCTCCTCCAGGTCCAACCCAGCATGAGGGTGGATGCCTAGAAGGCCCTCTCTCGTGTAACAGTGAACATCTGCCCCTGTGTTTGTTCCACCAGTATGCCTGCAAAATTTCCGCCGTGTGTGTGTGTGTGTGTGTGTGTGTGGCCAGAAGTCATGGCCATTGTATTGTGTCAGTGAAGTGCAAGCTATTTTCTTTGCTCCCAAAGCCTCTAGAGCCTGTTAAGAGGTTAAAACCCATAGGAGATATGTTATGAATAGTACTGTAACTCTAGTTCTAAGAGTACAGTCAGAGCCCTCTAACACCCAGTTTCTTTTTTAAGTTGCTGACTTTGTATGTGTCCTGTAAGAGTACATGACCATTTATACAACCTGTAGTCTGTAGGGGAGGTGGATCTATTCTCACTGGCTAAGCAAGAACATACAACTTTTTGTGGTGCTTTGTGAAGTGAGAAGGATAAACCTGCAGGGCCTGTCAGAGGGTTGGGTGTGAGCTCACAGGACTAGGGTTACAATCCCTAGTCAGATATACATGTAATCTAAACGAGTAACAAAAATAAATAAAATATAATAGAAATGAATGAAATGTAAATGAAAATGTAATCAGCATATGTAATAGCACTACTCTGAGTCCTCTGAGAAAATTAAAAAGAAAGATGTTTAAGTGTCGAGTAAAACAGGGTAACTGAACATTGTGAGCAGGCAACTGTAGTATATTGGCTTAGTGTTGTTGCAGAAACTTTTTTCATTTTCAGGTTGTTAAATAACTTGTAAAAACAAATAATACATTTAAAAATGTAGCCATTAACTAAATCAATAAGATTACCTTCCAGTGAAATACATACTGTAACTATATTTAAGCACAATACAATCAGTTAAATGATCTGAAAATATAGCTTTTCTTTCTCTGTGGTGGATGTTTCCTGCAGCTTTATAAACTTAAGAAGCCAACAAAACTAATCTGTGCAAAGTAGTTCTCTTAGTGCAATACATTAGCACTTTCTTAGAGATAAGCAAATGTGCATCTATAAAGTGGCCATAAGAACTGCTGCTTCCTGAAGCCACATTAATATAGTAGCCAAATTGGGAACCCAGGTGAACTGCTAACACTGTACAATCCTGTACCAATTCAAAACTGTGTAGACTGCATAAAGGAAAAAAAAGACCCAAATTAACTGTCACTTAACATCATTTCCATGCATGCACACAGTAAGACGTTCTCCTTTTGTGTGAGGGGGAGAAGAGTAATAGGATAAAATGGGCATTGCCTTTTCACAACTTTCATTGTACAAAGAAAAAGTAAAAGCAGTGACAGAATCTTCTCAAGATTGTTTCACTTTCTAAAAGAGAAATTTTTCAAACTTGACTTTAGAATAAGAAAACACACCATTTTCTTCTTTTTTTTCAGAGATGTGAAAGCTGGTTCAGCGATGGCACCGGGCATTCTTTGGGGGACGAGCAGGATGCAGCACTGCACTCACTTCCAGTCCGACCATACAGTAAGCCATTGTCAACAGGATTCCAGGAGGTACTACATGTCCAGTGAGGGAACAGCAGTAGAACTTGCTGTTAAACATACTGTATGTTACAGTATAAAAGTCTGATTCGGCCACACTCGTATTATCTCCATTGAGTTTGGCTTGCCCAAAGTGGGAGTGTGAGGGTGGCCATAAGCAGCATTATGGAGGGTCCACGGGAAGGTGACTTGCCTGCAGCTGCTGCGCGTTCATCGCTTCTGTCAGCTCTGATTACAGGAGCCTCTGTTCCAACAAAAACAAACTCTGTTGTGCAGCCGTCAGAGCAGCCACTACCGCTGCCTGAACTACTGCCCTCGTCACCTGCAGCAACAAAATCACATGAATTAAAATTGACATGAAAATTAATACTGTCACCAGCAGCCCTTAGTCTGGTCTATAGCAGAGGGGAAGTGAAAGTCTAGAATCGAGCCCTGAGAACATCATAAAGTGGCACAGCAAAGCTCATCCACATATTCCAGTGATACACTGACTAGTTAACATACACCGATCAGGCATAACATTATGACCACCTGTACATCTGTATGCACTTCAGTGCAACACTTCTGCCTTAACATCTGTGTTTATGAAGCTCAAAATGTTTCAGTTTTTGGTGAGATTGTCATAAATGTATAAATTCAATTATATGTTCACTATTGAGGTCATAGTTAAAGGTGGTGTTGTACTGGACTACAACATTATATTTAGAGGTGTTCCTGATATTCTGGCCCTCTCATGTCAACAGGCAGGACAAATATTATACAGATACTTCTGTATATTGAGCCTTTCTTTTAACTACAGGGTGAAATTTGAAATTTCATATGAAATCCTATTTACTACCATCTATTTCAAGACTGTTTTCATCATGCGTGTGCAACTAGTGAGACATCTGTTTAATATGTTGACCTTTTTTCATACTAATTATTTTAAGGGTTGCATTTTACTAGTTTGACAAAACCTCTCACTAGTCGACATGTACATGCAACTAATTATCTAGACGAGTGCTGCAACTGTCATACACGTTAGCTAGAAACACTTTACCACATTAGTAGTAGAACTACTTGCTCTCACAAATGTCAACTAGTGCAGCAAAAATATCAACTAGTGCAAAATTCACCACAGACCTCAATGTGAAAAACCTGCATGGATTTGCTAAATTTTTGGTGCAACTTTACTGCAGTGTATTGATTTCACAGCAAATTCTTTGGTGCTGGCAAATGCTGGTGTGACAGGACCTCTACAGTTGACATAGATGTTGTGGAAAATAACAATGTGTTTTAAGTGAAAATGGCCAAAAAATGTTGGAATATCTGTTTAAAAAAAGCTATTTAAACAAGAATGTTCCTCTAACAGAGCATGTTTGTTTAGCCTGCTTCTGAGAGCTATTAACATATGCAACAATCTTAGTTTATCCAGCACTGGCCACTACTAACAGAGAAAGCAAATGTGACATCAATTAAAGTGGAGTTGAGGTACAAAATGTAATGACAGCAGCCACACATTTTACTTGGAGCTCAGAGAATCTCCCATCTTGTTAGTCTCAAGGAGACTGACAGAATCAGAAAGGAAGAATAGCTTCTGTCATGGCAGCATTTTAGTTGTACTTCTTCCTAAACATAGCTTGGCTTTCTATCTGTGTCACTATACATACAGCTATTTATTCTTCCAGTGGCTCAGTGCAACACTACAACATCCTGTGGAGTTGCATGATGAGCTGCTCCATGTTTGGGATCTTTGAAATAACAGTTTATTTTTCTCCGGGATTGTTCTTGTGTGTTTCAGTATAGTATTGTCCAAATCAAAACCAACATGCAGTGACAGAAATTGACAGAGAAACATTTCTCTTTGCATGTTTTTCAGATAATTATTATTATCATCTTGTCTCGACCAGCACTTCCAAACACCACAGTAAATGAAGAACTTACTAGAGTCCGGGAAGTAGATGTCATTTCCATTGTAGGCATTCTTCAGTTTGTTGGTCATGACACGTAGAGCCATGATCTGCTGCCGAATCAATGTGTCAGGCCTGGTGATATCCACCTCCACCTCTGGGTTGTTCACCTGGTTGGTTAGACCCTCCTTCACCACTTCAGGAAAATATCTGGACACACCAAAAAGAAACATAATTTAGCATCTAATGTTTCCCTGTTGAATTACTGGCAGTATTATAATTAAAATGGCCTGTTACTGTAATATTTTTAAACTTAAGGCTGACAAATCAGAAGTAGTTTGTTCAACGGGGAGGTTCACGTTCCAGTTGATCTCGAACCAATTCTCACATACATTCTCTGTGTACACTGGAAGAGTGACTGTCCTCTTAAGATGACAGCAAAATATAAAGTTCCTTAAATAAAAACAAAACAAATATAATTCCACTATAGTTTACCATCCAATAACCGAGACGTAGCACAGCCTCTGACGGACTAAAAAATAATTTTAACAATGCTATCGAGCAGCATCAAAGGCAATCTACTGTATAGTGGCTGACAGGGCTCAGCACGTTGCAACATCAGAAAACAAAATGGTCAAAACAAGCAAATGGAGAAGCATCAACAACATCTTTGACAACATACACCTGACATTTAAACAAGAAATAGCTGCAAATGAATAAAACATGTTTGTGCTTCCTGTCGGTTTGGAAACTGGTGAATGTGTCTGTTTACTTTTTATCTATTTGCAGTTTTCTAAATGCAGCATATACAGTATATTGTCAAAGTAGATGTTCTCCATTTACTTGTCCATTTTATGTTCTTAACATGCTGCAAATCTAAAAACACAAATTTCAAAGCACAAACATTAATGAAACTGCAAGTCTGAAAACAAATTGCATGATGGGTTTTTACATTTGTAGTGTGTGTGTGACTGTCACAATTTAACCCTTAGTTTGGTGTTTCATTCAATGAGATTTATATAAAGTTATGTGTGCATAGTTTGTGTTTAAGTAAAAGAGAATCCAGTGATTTCATAACACTCCTAATATAGTCTGACTCTCACTGATGTTTTGTTATCTCTGGGCAGTCAATTACCTACCATATTTAGAGCCATCCTTAAAAATGGAACTGGCACAGACCAGAGAAACGATATGTCTTTTATTGCACCATCTGGTGATTCATTTATTTATTTATTTATTTTAATTTGGAGAGGGCCAAAGTGATGGGATGACACATTTTTTTCTGCCAGCAGCTCTGGTTCACTATAAGAGAAAACAGCTCAGTGGCTGGTCTAGTGTATGGCTCAGTGCTACACTACACACTGCAGTGGTGATAAGAGGTGTTGGAAACACCACAGTCCTCTGGGTATTAGAACCTTAGAGCTTATACAGGAGTCATCCATATAAGCACTATCCGTTGTACTTATAGAGTGTGTGTTAATCTGAGAACACAGTGTGGTTATTTTAATCCTTGGCAGGCAAAATGTGATAACCAGAGAGTGGGGTGGACTTTGCTGTGATCATAAAGAGTCGCACACATTCTCACCTGCCCTTAGTGTGGCTGTTCCAGCACTGTTCCTCGTCAGACTCTGTGAACTTGCCCTTGGCACAGATGTCATCTGGCAGATTGGACCAGAACCTCTTGGACTCCTTCAACTTCTCTTTGATGTCAATCACCTGCCATGGGCCAAAACAGAGGACAGAAATATATTAAGCTACTGTAACAATTCAGTATTGTAAAGGCTCAGAAACTAGGGTGAGAAGTGAAGTGACTCAAGTGGTCATACAGTACATCGAACACCGAAGTACACCCACTTATTTAGTTCTCAAAATAAAAATTCAATTAATTTCAGTACTTTCAGTTAAAATTCTCCAAAGACACTTTTTACAATGTTTTTTTACAGTTAGGAAATATTATACTATAGAAAATCAGTTTATATATATGTATATATATCTAAAAACCTAAAAGTAAAAATAAACATATAAGTGTCCAGTAGTTCCATCTCTGTGTGACACATTGTAATTTTAAACTTGCATGTTACAGCAAATGTTTTAGTTGCACAACCCTTTCTGTTCATTTATTTCATCAGGACAGAAAGTAGTGTTGGACTGCCTGGAGTTCTTTTTCTTTCCATTTTGCTTCTTGTTCACTTCTATCCATATTGTGTTCATCTCTGATTCATACAAGACAGACTTGGGGCCACCCCCGACTGATTCCATCACTGAGCAAGAAGTTTGAGAAAAACAGGAGAAAAAACATGAGCAACAGTGTTTTGAACAAATTGTCTTCCTCTTTCCTTTTGTCTCTCTCTTTCTTACTCAAAAAATAGTTTTGCTGTTTATGTTTAAAGAAAAAAAGATTAATCATCATTGTCAGTAATCAAAGGTTTTTATATATATATTCACAATTGAATGTTTAGATTCAGAAACACGAGCCGGTCACAAATAGGCACAGGATATGTTGGATAAGGATGTCAAATTTTCATACTGGTAGAAGTTAAAATAATTCATGTACTTAAGTACTACCCTCTGTCACAGGACAGCAGGATTACTTATAGTTTACAGCATTCACCTAGACACCTGTGAAATAATAGGAAGATTGCTGTTCACCCTTTTGGCAAATATGCTTAGCCACTTTGCTGCTGAGAGTTGTATCAGAAAATTGAT